TCAAAAAATTCTTCAATCAAAGTCTCATCGAAATGGAAGAAATTACTATTGATATCTGTATCATTATTTTTAAGTCGGTTAAATTTAATTTTCTCAATTTTCTTCTATTTAAATTTAATCTCCCTAATTTCCTTAAGCTTCTAATTTCTTCTAATCCTAGCATATTAATTTTAATATCGAATTAAATTAATGCTATAGTTAAAACAAGATTCTGCATAGACACGAGCGATAAAGAGACACTAAACTTTAATAACAGTTAGAATATTAATATTATCGCAATGGACAATGAAAATAGTCATGCGAGTACAAACCCGTTGTTATTACCGCAGCAGTCGTAAATTTGAAAAATGAATTAAAGCATTTTTTCCTCAAGCGAAAAAATATGTTTAGTCGCGAGGACGTAGAACCTCAGGAAGCATCGCGTGCAACTTTTGTCGTCGTGCAAAAGCGGATAGTGTGATACCAGAAACGTCGCGTGTACTGACGTATCTATGAATAAATAGAATTACGCTAATCGTGTAGGTTACATCATAATATACGGAACTACTCATACGCTGCCGGCGTAGATACGTGGCCGACCTTCGTCACGTCTTTTTCCGCGACTACGTCGGAAAGAATTGTCACCAAGCTGTTCACGAAATTGTCTTTTGCTTCGTTAGAAATGTAATCAGAAATGATAAATAACGAGTCTCGTGCTCTCCCAAGTACGATGGTTACCTTATCGAAATATTTATAAGGATAATTTACGTTGCAAATTTATTTATGCGTAAAGCAAGGATTCTCTGAATGTCATTTTTACCATTCAATCTGTCTCTTAAATACCGAAGTAAAAATTGTGAATCATTTAACAAGAAAGTTTGCAAAAAGGATTGCAGAGAGGAAATCGAGAAGTCAGTGCTGCAAATTAAAATTTTTAATATGGAAGACTTTAGCGTTCTTAATTTTGGCTATTCTAAAAATTTGTAGAATTATATTTGTAGAATTAATATTAATTATATTAGGAGTACTTCTCCTAATGGCTGTCAAAGAATGCTGATTTCTACGGCTCTAGTTATCATTGCAATTGAACAATTTTCAAATATCTGTGAAAAATAGCGACATAAACGTCGCGAATGATGGCATTACTTGCACTAATTTTGCGATATCGAGTAAATTATGTAATACATGCCTACCATATTGCATGACGCGACGCGGCAATTTCAAACCGTCATCGCGTCTCTTATTAAGTAATTCGATACCATCGCAATTATCCTAACCACCGCGAAACATAAATTTTGTATTAACGACAATCTTTCGAAAAATGTTCCAACGACCACTCGCGTGTTCGCCGTTTAAGCGTGCATTGGGAAACTTTGAGGTTTCGTATCGCGGAGAAAAAGCGAGTGCTCGGTGAAGCATGAATGAAACAGTATAAGGAAATGCGTTGATATTGCAAGTAAAAAAATGCGAATCGGGGAACAAGTATACGTTACCGGGGCAAGATCAGTAATTGCTGACAGGTTTGATACGTTCGATTCTTTCATCGCTGTGAAAGATCCCAAGGCTCGATTGCCACCATCTACTTGTAATAACGATCGCTCTCCAACAAATTTTAGGTAATTCCAATGCACTGCTCTGAACTGGAAATCAATATACACACGTGCACATGCGTTATAACATTTTTATTTGTCGGGTGGAATGCTACGTATAATTCTGCTACGCTAAATAATTCTATTGCTTTTATCCTCGATAATTTCTTCATTTAAAAAGTTTCTTTTTGTTTATTGTTTGCTATATAGTAATATAATTTCCGTAATGTAATATACTAACATAATAGGAATTAAAAAATTGTAGTGTTATAATTAAATAATACTATTCAAAACTTACAGAATTTTAATATTGTATAAAACATGAAATTAAAAATGTACTACTTGTTACGTTATTCTCTGACTCACGTTCCTCTTAAGTCTCTTAATATTGACAAAGCTTGTACACGATTCTGCTTAAATATTTGCGCTGCAATATGAAATAGTTTTCGAGTTTTCTTCATAAGTGTAAATAAACATTGTTAATATAATTTTCAATAGAGATTGAAATGTTCTAATTATTAATATATTTTTTATTTATTTATTAACATATCCTTGCTTAAATTTTCTAATTGCTATTTAAAAGTAAATTTTTGGAATACTTTCTTTAAATATTATCAAAATAATGTAATTTTGCTCTCTACTTTTTGCTTATATTTATCTTCTTCGATCGACGCTAAAAGGATTAATACTCTTTCATAAAGGCTTTATAATTTAAAACTTTTATAATATTTTTATGGAAATATTCTTAAAAGATTATATTCTTAAATATTCTTAAATAATTTTCATTCTTATCTTTTACCTTTAAATATATGATAAATTCTTGCTTTTTATACACGCACAATGGGATTTACATACAATAAAAGAATGGATGGAAAATCGTTTAAAGAAATCGTAATCGTAATGGTTGAAATTGTAATTAAAAGATAGAATAGTTATCACGAATGACACTTGTGTGGTAATTATTTACCCGTGTCGTTTCTCTGTTACTCAGGCTGAAACCTTTTATCAACAACGTTTTCCAGAACTGCTTGTTTCGTGCCAATTAATTTTGCGATATTGTCGCAATTGTGTCGAATGTACGTAGCGCGAATTTCAAGGTCAAAAATTGCATTTCTTTTTTTTGCATTGGAGCCGTACATGAGCAAGAAAACGCCACGAATATAATTTCAAGAAAACCGTATTTTTATTAGATTATTTAAAACAATATGTATACTACTTTACTAATATTTAAATACAACAAGAAGAGCAAGCTGGTAACTCGATATCTTAATTTATTAAAATTTTCCTTGTTTGCTTTTGTATATGCGTATATCATTTAAAGCAATCAGACGCTTTTGCATTCTATAGATAAGCTTAATAAATTAACATTGAATGCTAATAAATAATAACAGGTATATCCAAATATCGGTACATATTTAATTCGAAGTTTCAAATGCATTAAGCAACAAAAGTTGGATATATCTATCAATACATCCACAAATAATAATAATTACTTGTATATATGCATACATCGGTAAATAATTAGCATGAGTTTTTAATACTTTGTAAGATAAATAGATACATCGTTATATCTGCAAATATTAAGAAATAATAGTGTATCAACATAACAATAAACAATCAGCATGGGGTTTCACGTGTGAAATTAAAAAAATAGTATATCAATAAATAAAAACAGATATGTCAGTACATCGATAAATAATATTAAATATACTTACATATTAATAAATAATAATAGGTATATGTCAATGTATCAATAAATTTCATCAGATATATTGACAAATATTAATAGAAATATGAATATTTTAATAAGTGTTTGACAGTAGTTTCCAATAGCATTGTAGCGACCTCACCTAAGCAAGCGATCATTTATTTCGAACAACAAGTTCTGTATGCTCTTGTCAACCGAGTGAGACCTAACACGAAAAAAGCATATGTAAGAAGCGAAAAACCAGTTTGTATTATCGCCTGTCAATGCAAAAGCTGCATTAATCAAACAATTCAAATACGTTCTCCGTGTCTAGATTCCTTCTATATTGTAGTCGACTGGTCGTTTGCATCTGGTTTATCTTCGTGGAAATATTCACACTGTTGCTTATCTTTTATTCCAACTGACCAAGAAAGAAACAACTATCTCGCAAGTCGTAGTGTAACTGGCCTTTTCAATTAAAAATCTACTCGAGATACGCAATACTTTATCTCACAGGAGAAGAGAAATTAGAAATGTCGTAAATCATGCATTGCTTTTTGTAACGAATATATCAATTCTCTTGAAATATTTCAAAATACCTGTTTTACAATCTTTTTGTATTATTTGTAAATTCAGTATCTTATAATTTATAATCAAATAATATTAAATTCTAATGTAATTTATCACAGGTGTTTTTGAATTTATTAATTCTTGCTTATTTTCATTTTGGTCAGAAAAATAACCGATTTTACTACTGATCTAGTATAATAGATTCAGTATACGCGATTATTCGTTTGCTTTACTAGTAAGCATTGCATATTTATTATAAATTTAATTCTTAATTAATAAAACACACGCACTACTTAAAAATGTGAAATTAATTTAAAAATATTCTTATAAACATCATTTTATCGTACACATTGGAATGAAGTGTTATGTCTACTGTGGTTCGATTTTTACATACGGAGAGTTGAGGAAAAGTAAGGAAAGGTCATAGTAATGAGGTCGTCAATTTCGATAACACTTTTTTTAGTAGATCTGAGAGGAAAATAAGTAAACTCGGATTGAATCATTCGATGAAATGCATAAGATTAAAACCCCAAGAAATGAAGTAGTAATTTCCAATATGCCACATCATCGCAGTAAACATTTCCTTATAATAGTAACACAAAGTATACCTTTTAACCTCTACTAAAATTAAAAACCGATTAAAATATCCATTACAATGGCTCAGAAAATTTTCCTCCACTTTGCAATTTTAATTTATTCAAACGAAACGATCAATGGAAACGCGAAAATGAGTAAAAGATTTACCTTCTGACATAATCACCACGCAAGGATTTCTTGAACCACGCTCCAGTAGATTTTCTAACCAGAATTTTTTATTAAAGAATTCCTTTGAAATGTAGCGTTTGAATACTTTTATTAGCCACTGAATATACCAAAAAATCCGAATTTTGAGGAAATAGAGTAACGAAAGCAATAATATCGAATGCAACATATGTAATAACAAATTTAAAGATATTCTGCTTATAACACCTCAATGGTATTTCTCGAGGCATTTAAACACTTGCTATTATAAGAATTCCTCGAGTAACTTCGACTAACTTCGATTAACTTCAAATTTCTAAATTATAAATATATCAGGTCGCAAGTCCAATGTCGACCACATTGGACAAATACCTCCCTTTGCGAGAGGTATTAGCCTTATCAGTAACGAACATGCGATTTACCTATTTTTCCAGAAGTTCGTGTTCCACGGTTTACTTCGGCGACATAGGTACGGGATCGGGGGTGGGAGAAGTAACCGCCGCCTCGGCGGGGGGTGGCGAAGGTCTCAGCCTGACTCCAACCCCCGCCAGCAACAGCAACAACACAACCACCGCCACCCCCAGCACCACCGGCGTTACCACCATTACCATTACC